GTACACTGAGATTTAGATCTAATGTAGAAGTTATTCTTAGAAATAGGTTTAAATACAATCTCCAAATTCGAAACACGTGTCTCTCCCATAACCACATGTTGTAAGCATTTTGTCGACTGTGCGTTAATATGCAAGATGTCCGAATCAATATGGATAATATTTTTCTATGATCAAATATAATCATAAATAATTACGCAGCAATTTGATGGCTTTTGATATATATGTGTGTTACGGCACCTACGGCGATATTTGCTTATACATTGGCTAGTGAACAATCCCAATTAGCACCCCTTCCGATTGATCATAAATACCATCAAAATTAGCACCCCTTCCGATAATCATAAATAATTACGCAGCAATTTGATGGCTTTTGATATATATGTGTGTTACGGCACCTACGGCGATATTTGCTTATACTTTGGCTAGTGAACAATCCCAATTAGCACCCCTTCCTTTTTTATTCGTGTATAACACGCACTCGTGTGAGGTCTGTATCAATACAACACCATTGTTTATTGAATATTTATATTTTACAATACCCTTTTTACTTTCTGTTTGTTTGGTTCATTAAACATTGTATGGTTCCGGTATATGTGTCGCTGAAATGCGTTGCTTAATAAAAGAGACCAATGGAACCGTCCTATCTGTTCCATATTTAGATCTGACCGCCTCCGTGGTCTAGTGGTAGAGCGTCCGCCCGGAGAGCGGGTCCGGGGTTCGATCCCCGGCCGCGTCATACCAAAAGACGTTAAAAGATGGTACTTGTTGTTACCCTGTCTGGCGCTCGGCATTAAAGGGCTAAAACAAGGACTGGTCTGCTCGGAGTCAGTATACTGTATCTGAGTGGGGTATTCATGTTAAACTGCTGCATGGTATCTCAGTGTGCTAGCACTATAAATCGACATCATTCCGGACTAGTACAAGCAGCCACATACACACACATACACGTGCATGCACGTCGCTATATAAGTGCAATAATCTTGAACGCGACGTTAAACCCTATTTCACCTCACCTCACCTCTTAATTATGGCCAATTAAATCCTGGAAAAATATATCTGTCGTATATAAACATTTCAGGCTGTCAGCATAAACCACGAAATTTACGGTCTTTCAACTTTCAACTATTTTTCCACCAAAATAATATTTTAATAAGAGCCCCCTATTTCTCATTTTGAGAGCGCCCTGGGCGTTATTACGTCGAATACGGTATTGAACATGAACATGAAAAATACCAAACCAATGAGACGCGAAATGGGAAGTTCTGTATAAAACTAATGTCAAATGAAATTGGACTGGGCATCCAGCTGTGATATTGTGCGCTCCATGGACATGCATCAACCTACTGGGTGACAGATGCCTAAGTGCATCATTCAAAACGACCTTGAAACTGTTTTTAATGTTCGTGCATTACGCCACTGTATACTGTTATCATTGTATCGAAAAATAACATATGTAGATTGAACAAGTAGATGATCCAAGCCTCTCTGAGAGAATATTACGTGAATCATTTCTAGACCATCATTTTTATTGTAACATTATTATGTACTTCCCAACGATGAGGTCTGTATCAATACAACACCATTGTTTATTGAATATTTATATTTTACACTACCCTTTTTACTTTCTGTTGGTTTTATTCTTTAAACATTGTATGGTTCCGGTATATGTCTCGCTGAAATGCGTTGCTTAATAAAAGAGACCAATGGAACCGTCCTATCTGTTTCATATTTAGATCTGACCGCCTCCGTGGTCTAGTGGTAGAGCGTCCGCCCGGAGAGCGAAAGGTCCGGGGTTCGATCCCGGACCGCGTCATACCAAAAGACGTTAGAAGATGGTACTCGGCATTAAGGTGCTAAAACAAGGACTGGTCGGCTCGGAATCAGTATACTGTGTCTGAGTGGGGTATTCATGTTAAACTGCGGCATGGTATCTCAGTGAGCTAGCACTATAAATCGGCATCAGTCCGGAGTAGTACAAGCAGCCACACAAACACACACGTGCATGCACGTCGCTATATAAGTGCAATAATCTTAAACCCCATTTCACATCACCATATTTAGATCTAGGAAATGATTCAGAGTGACAACATTTCACAAGACTGTATGACAAGAGGATGTCTTCAGCTGTCCAGTAGTCAACTTTTCCTTGCTATATTCTTGTTAAAATTGTTTGATCAGGCATTTAAGGCTTTTGTAAATCCTTCAAAAGGTTTCATGTTAGGCATAAGGATGCCTCTCCAAGTTTGACGCATAAGTGACGAAAGTTATGTCCGATGCAAATACCTTATTTTGACTTGTACCGTATGTTCCCGTATGCGTTCGGGTGAACCTTTACTTGCCTTTGCATGTGTTTGTGACGGGTGCCACCGATGTTCCCCTATGCGTTCGGGTGAACGCTTTACTTGCCTTTGACAGATGCCAACGCCGGGGCCGGATTCGATCAACCTGGTGCCATAACTATTTGATAGTGAAGAAGAGAAGTTATGGATGTCAAATTCTTTATTATGAGGAACACAATTAGGCAGCTTATTTGACAGTGATTCATAAACGCGTGCTTATGATACAGTCGGAATCTTACAATTGACTTTTAGCAGAGATGATTATGATTATGGAAATAACTTTGTACATTATATTCTGTTTATTCAGGGGCATGGGGCATTTTCGTCTAAGGCGCCGCAATGTGTAGAGTTACGTCCCTTGGATATTCAAGACACCTGTGATCGTGGGTTCGAATCCCGGTTCGCCCCGCTTATGGTTCTGGGTTTGTCAGCACCAAACCCGTATTTGTGGGTTTCACTGAAGTGGTAACGTCTGAGACCTGCATCACTTCGGGCTTTCCTCCCATTTCAAGCTGATACGCCGTGATATAACTGGAATATTGTTCAAAGCGGCGTTAAACCCAACTCACTCTGTTTATCGGTATCTATATATTGACACTGAGGAGTTTGTTCAGATGTGTTTTAAATGTCAATAGCTTGCAATTGGGTGTCGATTACCATCAGAATTTTATCTGGCCACGGCAATCCTCATATATCCATACAACTTCGAGGAAATGTGTCTCTCATGCTCATCTATAAACAAGTGTTCGTTCATGTCAGAGTAATATGGAAGCGCAGGGAACGTCATGTAAGCACACGGCTTGTGTTTAAATATTCATGGTTGGCCAATTATATGGAATCCTAGTAGGGACATCGTCGCGTTGTCGCATTGTCGCCTTTACAAAAACAAGCAAAAAGTGTCAAAATTAACCAAAGCGCCATAATGCGACAACGCGACAATGTCCCTTCTAGGATTCAATACTACTTTAAACGATTTTCGTCATAACCATTTCAAATAGCTGACTATTGAATACCCAAAACCCTATAACATCCGGCCGGAAACGTGGCTAACTCCATTTATTTTATCATCGGGTGTTTTTTTCGATCTATATACTTTCATTTCAACAATTTTCGTATAAACCTAGGTAAAAACAGTTGTTGGTTGCGAACACTAATCCAGCATGTGGCAAATATTATCACATACATCAACCCAGTTGACGAGTTGACTAAATGCTCTTGTATTGGGTAACGTAGAGTTCGGAACTAACACGCCTGATGAAACTCCACATATATTTCGAGACATAAAGAGCGCCATACGACTCTTGCTCAAAAGTTGTTTGATCAAGGTTACAACATTCAAGGCCTCAGTAAAGCTTTCAAAAAGTTTTATGGTAGACATGTGCAGGACATTTCCAAATTTGACGCATCAGTGACAAAAATGATGTCCGATGCAATTTCCTATTTTGACTTGCACCATATATTCCCATATTTTTTCCGATGAACAATTGAGTTGCCTTTGCATGTGTTTGTGACGGGTGCCACCGGTTGGACATGATACGCCTACCTTTTCACAAACGCCTGGTATCATTCCTATTAGATACTGATTCATAAACACATTCTCATGATATAGTCGGAATTGTACAGTCGACTCTGCTCTATGCAGAGATTGGATATGGAAAGGGTTTTGTCGCTTTTACCAGGTGGCACCCATGACACTTCTTTAATGCGAATTTCTCATTTACTTGGTAGTGGCATAATCAGGGTCGATAATATAATTGTACGAAGTAATAAAGGGAGGGTTGTATGGTATCGCTGAAACAAGTAAACGTATTTCCAAATAATATTTGAAGTTATTTTGATTTTAAGTTTCTTTATGCTACATATAAGGGACAAATCGCGGAAAGTGTCACGTGACACAATGAGAGTGAGTGAGTGAGTGAGTGAGTGAGTGAGTAGTTACTGCTTTTAGCCGCATCAGCTGTAATCAGCAGTTATTTGTCTACGTATCACTTGTTGAATCTCATATATAGACAACATGTAAACATTATAAACACTTTTCATCAATATTTCCAACTAAAATTATAATAATTACTCGGTTATATAAAGACAAACCTTCTAATTGCCTTTCTAAAATGTTTGAGTATATTCTCAGTATCGGGATATTCCTTCATTTCGCTCCTACTCTTCCCAACCAGAACGATATGATAAGCATCATATACATCATGCAGATATCGGCACATCTGTCACAAATTGACAGGATCCTACAGCGTAGTGTATTAAAGGCTAAATTAAGAGTTGCACAGTTGGTCATAGAATATTATGAAATCAAAGCTATTCAATAAAAGCAAATGCTCCATTTATCCTAGCTGCTGTTGCATGGGAACCTTCATACACCGGACAAGCGTATATCTCCATAGAACAACATATGTTGTTAAGTTTTTATTGTTTGTTGTTAACGAGTGTCGCAATCATACGCGATCGTTTGACACACATTTACCTACTAGTACCTACTCATGATGTGAAAGGAAGGGATATAGATTTATGTTTTCTCTACTTTCCTATCAGTTTATTAAATCTGGATATAGCATGTCCAAAATGTTACCATATCCATATCTGTCCATATATCGCTATTGCCTGTGTTACAAGAGACATTTAATACACATTCGTTCGTTTGTTTTTCAGGATATCTGCAATTAACCACGGCACCCTAGCAAACGTACATTCACAGCAAGGATGTTTCAAGACTGACTCCAGTATATTCGAAGGATTAACGTTCAGTGCGTCTTTAAGTTGTTAATTATAGACAAACACGCATTAAACCAACCCGCTCCCAGTGCTGCTTCCAGTGTAATGCGATTGAAAGGTACTAATTTGATCACATTAGGGAAATGTCTAGAAGATCTAAAGCCGAGAGAAGTGTGAATATAACAAAGACTACCCTTGCCAATGGCTGGTCTTCCTGCATCCCCAAAGGATGATGGTTGATCATCACCAGTCAACTCAGGACGAAATTGTCCTACATAACGTTCAAGACCAAGGGACCGAACACTTGCCCAATGGCCCCTGCAGAAGTCCTGAAGAGGAAGGGGGGTCACGGTCCCAAAGGTCTAGTTCAGATTCAAGCAGTTCCAGTAAGAAATCAAGACTTAAAAAACTGTCCCGCAAAGGAGCAAGCATATTACCGAATAACAGTAATTGGCGTCGGTTGCGGGCCACGATTAAAGCGTCGAGCGAGATGCAGACCCAGAAAAAGAAAGGAGCATTGGAGAGACAGGATTCGTTTCTGAGGAAATTCTCTACAAGGAACCAGCGAGTGGATGATTGTTCGGATGACGAGGATAAAAAACCAAGTTATTGGCGTCCGGCGAAGTCTCGGCGTCATTTTGTTATTCAACATGACGGAAAGTTTATGTTTTATTGGCTCGGTGTGATGACTGTGGCCGTTCTGTACAACATGTGGACATGCATAGCCAGAGAAGCTTTCAGGGAAATTCAGTCTGGATGCAATTATTGTTGGTTCACCATGGATGCTTTCGTGGATCTTCTTTACCTTTTGGACGTCCTAGTTCAATTTAGAACAGGATACCTAGATCAAGGACTGATGGTCTACGATTCCAAAAAGCTAGCTAGGCGTTACTTGAAGTCGCGCACCATATACTTTGACACGTTATGTCTTGTACCTACGGATCTGATTCAGTTTTATATAGGGATTCACCCAATGGTTCGATTCCCAAGATTCCTAAAAGTGTATAGAACCTTCCGTTTCATTCATATGCTGGAATCGAAGTCAGCCTATCCCAATTTTTTCCGTGTGGCCAATTTGTCACATATGTTATTCCTTGGAGCACACTGGTTTGCAGCATTTTATTACCTAATATCTGAAGCAGAAGGTTTCGTCGGTGGATGGTCCTACCCAAGACCCGAAGGGGAATACGCGTCAGTGACCCGGAAGTACTTAGCTTCGCTTTTCTGGTCGACCTTAACCTTGACAACAATAGGTGACCTTCCACCTCCAGATACCAACTGGGAGTAAGTATCGAGCATTAATCACGTTTCTCCTCTTTCTCTTCCGTGATGCATGTATCTAACATCTCTACCTCCGTATTGCATGAATGATATTCACGATTCACATTACAATTTGGATATAGTTACATTATAAATACCTCTCTGTGTTCTCTCAAGTAATGTCTGTAACCACTCATTATGGACCGGCCAGTTTAAATTTGTCTCCCGGCATATGGGGATCTAAAGAAATTACCTAAAAAGTTTATTTGTCTGCAACAGGAAAGAAGATAAAAGGTCTTTCTGTCACGCTGACTATATGTGTATTATGTCACAATATGTACAGAGAGCAGCAAATACAATATTCCCCTGACGGTACGGTTAGAACATACATGTATACAGTTGTCAAAAAGTTGGTAACATTTTTGTTAGAGGATAGGAAAAAATGTATGTATGGCGTGAGGTGTATGTAGGCTATTTTTTAGGAGCGTTGATTTCCGATGGGTAATGTGCCTTATATCTATATATTACATGTTGAACGTGCAAATAGATCATTCCAATACAGAAATATTTCTATGGTATTACCAATATTAAGCAATCTTTATTTCTGGATCAAACATAGTACTCCGCGGAACCATACCATAAAAACGCCATTTTCTTGATGCTGCATTTACATTTAAATATACGTGCATGAATGTTCTTGAATGCAAACGGTTGCATGCATGCATTATACCTATTAGATGTAACTATTAGAATATGCTCATTGAAGCGCTTATACGTAAGAGCTTATGGATGTGTAGATGTTTGTATAGGTTTTTATGAGGCCATTTAAAAATATTGTTCCTTGACTTTTCAAAATTGACAGGGTAGGGATAATTTATCTTGTCATATTCTTTCTAAAACAGGTTACACATTTGTGAAAGAAAACATGTGACTCTCTTTATCTACCTGGTGTCGTCTTTCGGCCAGGTTTCCTGCAGCTCTGATGCACAATTTGGGAAGTCGGTGGCACATCATAATAATCAGTGCATGAAAGTGATAAATAAATTAGGAACAGATGGGCCATGAGAAACAAATTATTTTTACGAACCTTATCTCTAATCCAAATACCAGAAGATATGACATTATCCATGTATCGTGTGGCAGAACATGTACACTTAAGACATCCTACTGACATGGTACATGTACATAATGCAATATGATTGACGTCGTACATGATTGAAATACTGACATGTGCACAGTGATGATGTTAAGATACCTTGGTATGGTACAGTTTGAGACAATACTGACATTGTATTAGTTAAAGATACTGCGTGTGTAAACTGACAGAACACTGACCTACTGGTACATCCTGGAAGGATAATGTAAAACGTGAATGCGAGAGAATAACAAGCCCTAACTGTTTGATTGGCATTGTAGATGTTTGCAAAATGAGTAAGAAAAACGTACGACTTTATGGAGAACAACTTCTGGGTTATTGCTTTTAGCCACGTTTCGATGTAGATTCTTACACCGTTATCCAGCTTAGTAACCGTGTAAGAATCTACATCGAACCGTCTCTTTTTGCAATAAACCAGAAGTTGTTATCCATAAAGATGTACTTTTTTCTTAATAACCACTCTTGCTTATACACCGAAACAGACTGGCTTAAAAGGCAAAACAGTTGTGAAAATGAGATTTTAGATCATTGAAAATCAGTGATGACACAAGGTGTTCGCGAAAAGGGTTATGCAAGCATGACAGACACCCGTGGAGATTCCGGGTAAGAAGCCCCCTTGTAACCTATAACTGTCGTAACAGTTTGGTGGTCTGACTACATAAAACCAGAGCTGTGAAGATCCGGGGTACAATAGGTCTTCAGCAACCCATGCTTGCCGTAAATGGCGACTATGCTTGTTGTAAGAGGCGACGAACGATATCGGGTGGTCAGGCTTGCTGATTTGGTTGTTGCATGTAATTGTATCCCAATCAAGTGGATCGATGCTCATGATGCCAATCACTTGATTGTCTGGTCCAGATTTGATTATTTACAGACTGCCGTCATTAAGCTGGAATATTGATGAGTGCGGTGTTAAACACAAAACATAAAACCAGGATAGTAGTGCGGTTATTACTGACTAAATATAAACTAAACTCAATGACAGATGATGCTATAGGACGAATGTCTACTCATATTATATCAATACATTGCGTGTACATGGTGTCTTTTAATCAACAGACTATACAGGTTGTTTATTGAACATCAGGGCTTAATTATGATTGTATGTTTAACACAAAGGAACAATTCTAATGTTCTGGTTGCTCATGGTTCTTTTGATGGATAATTGGCAGTGGATTATATGAAACGTGTGTAAGAATGTATGCAACACTTAGACATCAACTATTTATTTATGCTAAAGTCAGCTAATGTCAAGTTTTCTCGCGTGCCATATAAAAGCTGAATAATTATTTAAAGGGAGACAAGTTCAAAGGTCATTCATCTTTTTAAAATGCAGAACCAGTTTTTGTAGTGTGTGTCTTGAGGCATTGTTTCTATCAGTAATAAAGCTAGCTTTTTAATATCTGTGTATGGGTTTACGCAGCTTTTAGCAATATTCACGGCAGAAATGGGATTAACACAATGTCCCCATGAGGGGAATCGAACCCGTGTCTTCGGCGTGACGAGAGAACGCTTTAACCACCAAGCTATCACATCGCCCTCGTTTAATGGTAGATTGATCTGGATGAGAAAACGTTAGTATAGGATGAAGTGATATTACAATGACCTATTTCAGACTTGCAAGGACTGCCCCCTGACTCGAGCCTTCTCCACCTTTAAGTATACTGAACAAGGGGCGGTCGCGTAGCCTAGTGGTTAAAGCGTTCGCTCGTCACGCCGAAGACCCGGGTTCGATTCCCGACTTGGGTACAATGTGTGAAGCCTATTTCTGGTGTCCCCCGCCGTGATATTGCTGGAATATTGATAAAAGCGGCGTAAAACCATACTCACTGACTCACTATACTGAACAAAAGAAGTTTATTTAAGAATATTTTGGGAGATATTTATTGCAGTAGACTGAGCACACAATTTCAAAAAATAATATCCCCGAAAATATTCTTGACCCCTAACTTTTATTTCAGTATATGTTATCAATACTATCATTTTCACACTTCACTTCAAACATGAATATTAACTCAGATATTTTGTATTATTACCATTCAGATATAACCTTAAATATTATAAGCATGAGCATGTGCGAAATGTTATTTTGCAACCCACACATGATAACACGAGATTACATTGTGTACTTCAAAATTATATAAATGATTCCGCAGTAAAGAGATAATATGCATGGTAATTGCACGAGATCAATTTCTTCATTTCATGTATATGTATATGTGTAGGACCTGGGAATTGATATCTTAGATGCTTGCTTAACTCAGTATGTACGTGCACTCGATACGGGAATGTTGCCTTATTATTTAGAAAATAACATGGAATTAGTGGAACAGACAGATTCAATGTCTAGTACAGTATCTTACATTGGCAACATTTTTTTACATCTGATACAATTGTTTTTATTTATTAATAAAACACTTAATTCCATTAAAAACATTTTTACAATTAAAAAGTTTCAAATCTACATTCAAAAAACAACTACGACCTATGACATTTATTTTTATCTTATTGTTTCCCCATTTTTTATTTATGGATACTTTTCGGTTGTTCGTGACATGATACCAAAGAAATTGACCTCTTTGAACCATAACACAGTTCATCCAGTACACTTAGTCCCGATAGTGTAGTGGATAGAGCGTCTGCCCGGAGAGCGGAAGGTCGTTGGTTCGATCCACGGTACATTAAATTCGGACGCTAATCATAGGTTGCAGATGTGCCCAAAGGACGCAACTTTGCACAGCATATTCTGCGTGACGTCATATAGCTGGAGACCGCCTCCGTGGTCTACTGGTAGAGCGTCCGCCCGGAGAGCGGAGGGTCCAAAGTTCGATCCCCGCCCGCGTCATACCAAAAGACGCTAAAATATGGTACTTGTTGTTACCCTGTCTGGCGCTCGGCATGAGTGGGTTAAAACAAGGAATGATCGGCTGGGAGTCAGTATACTGTGTCTACGTGGGGTATTCATGTTGAACTGTGGCCTTATCTCTTGGCGGGATCATCCACACACCCGCGCACGCGCGCGTTAAGTTTGTTCTCTTGAACATATCAAAATTCATACTAGAAATAAGAATGCGTACAATGAAACATCGATATCACGACCCTCGTTGATACACAATCCACAATCCAACATATTACTGTAGCAACGTGGAGGTATTATTACATGGATACCGCTTCCTATCCTTGATTCGTTAAACCAGAGCAGTTCTGTCCGGATTAACAAGGGTTGAATACAGTCGATCATACCCAATTGTACAATCAAGTATAAAAGTTCAACCTGACTTCCATAGTTCCGTTTATCATTTCCTGGCATGCCAAATATCTACATTTTAAGTTCCGTCTTGTAATGTACCTTGTTCAATAACAATGAACCGTTGCTCAAATTCAATTCATATTGACATTATGTTAAATTAGTATAACAAAAAGGTGCATCCCAACTACTAATTATTACTTCTCAATGGTCGAATAATCCACTATATGTCTTCGTACAGATCCAAATACAACGAGAAACAGATAAAAGTGTCGCATCAACATTCAATCTGAAGAGACCGCCTCCGTGGTCTAGTGATAGAGCGTCCGCCCGGAGAGCGGAAGGTCCGGGGTTCGATACCCAGCCGCGTCATACCAAAAGACGTAAAGATGGTACTTGTTGTTACCCCGTCTGGCGCTCGGCATTAAGGGGCTAAAACAGGGACTGGACGGCTCGGAGTCAATATACTGTGTCTGAGTGGGATATTCATGTTAAACTGCGGCATTGTATCTCAGTGTGCTAGCACTACAAATCGGCATCAGTCCGGACAAGTACAAGCAGCCACACACACACACACACACATGCGCATGCACGTCGCTATATATGTGCAATAATCTTGGACGCGACGTTAAACCCCAGTTCACCTCACCTCACCTTCATTCTGAAGACCTGACACCACAGGCATATCGCTTCCGTCACAAAATCACTATACATGTACATTTCCACAACTGAAAGAATTGAACGAGATCATGCGTTGTGAAGTAATATCAGAATAATGTTGCTGTTATTTCAACATATGACCTTTCTATTCGTTTTGTTCCGTCAGGAGTGTTGATGATCTGTGGATTAAGTCCCAACAGGTGAATTATTTACATTAACCTGATTACGTTTCTTCGTCTGTGACGCAGTCACTCACTCCCCAAGGACCTGCACCGTGCGCCCGCTACGTAGAAGACGAACTGATTCTTATATTGGTGTTTCTTTGCTCATAGATACTAACCGTTGATAGTGTTTATGCCATCTTGGTTTATGTCCACTGGTGCCCTTCTCCTTGCATGGGTATGTTACAGGCATATATTTATCTATATACGTTTTTTCGATCAAAACAGAAATCTCTAACCCACAGAATCAATTGAAAGTATTTTTGTATGATAATATTACAGTTTCATATCACGCAACAAAAATGACACGTATGACTCCGTTGCAGCTTGGTTTTTTAAATAACCCTCTTGATTGATTCAAGTGTGCATCAGATAGACATATACTGTTGAGTTATAAATATGCATGTTTAATACATAACGTGATATTATCAGTAACTGTATTGCGAAAACTACATAAAAATAGTAAGTATAATATGGATAAAGAATAAATTTAACGCTAATGAACTAACGACACCTTGTCAAAAGTCCAGTATCTGTTGTACTGGCTGAATGAAAATAGTTAAACGCTTTTTGTTGTAGTTTCCTTGTGAATGGAATAATGCACATAGTTGATAACTGATCAACGTTTATATATAACAAGATGTAGACCAAGCACTTTTTCTTATACACCTTTTATATTTTAAGCATGTGCATCGACACATATACCACTACAAGTATTATCAGAATCAATACTGCATAGATGGGTCAACTAGTTGACAAACGAGGGTTTAGAAATACAAGGATTTCCGAATCCTTTAAAATTGGAATGAAATGATAATAAATGTGTGTACAATTTCGAAGCCTTTAAAAGAATAAATCTTTCCTACAAGATCGTCATTCAATAACAAGGGTAACAAACTGACGTTGACCTGAATGTTTGATAATAAATGTAGTCTGTGCCAATTTGCAGGACACTATTAATGCATCTTTTACCTTTACGATAACATTATTCGTTGGTGTAAGAAAACAACAATATTTAATAAATAATTAACAAGATGTGACATGAACATCTGTGACTATCTGTCTTTACTGGGCTAGTGTCTGTTCTGTGTGGATTAAGTGTAGCTATAGGTGCATTGTCCTCACCCTTCTTCCAGCTCTGATTTAGCTTGTAGAACCCTCTTAGATAACTCTACTATGCCCGTACCGAGTTGCTGAGCACTAATTTTTTTGTTGCAGCTGGCAAATGTCAAACGTTGCGTAAGTAATGGGAGATCGCCCAGGGCCGGCAGTTTTGTGTTGACCACGCCCCTCTGTGTCCGACACGCTACTGTGTAGTTGAACCTGTCTCTGTCACTCATTTCATCTTGTCATTCACCATTGTGCACGTCGTCACGCTTTGGTTACTCCCTGTGTTGGTTCAACTATTGAAATTGCCGGAACATTTAGTTGCATTTTGTATGCAGGAAATTGTCACCTGGTTACAAGATTTCACGCAAATGAGTTTTAACTTGCATGAATAAGATTTTGCACTTTTTAAAGGATACTTTGTGAATGAGCCCTGAATAACACTTGAGCAGCCCCGCTTTAGCAAACTATGGGTATTTCGATTAGATTAATCTTCAGGGTAAATGATTGTATTCTGAAAGTCGAACCGTCATTCAGCAAACATGCTGCAAACGTGTATGTATGGTATGTAGCATAAAAGGCCACACAAATGTACTTTGCACCAATACACAGTCATGCATTTGTATGCACCCATCCTCGGTGCATTCGACAGTGTATCAGTCCTAACTTGAAAATATACGTACTCACTTTAGATGCATTCTCACCCTATTTATTGCATGGATCTGCACACGCCGATCCTACTACCAGACACTCTATGTAAATATATGCATGAAAATGCGTATGAATACCTTAATGAGTATATTCCGATACATTTACATACATATGCACAAGCGATTTGATGCTTTCTCTTGTATGCTCACGAACATGTGTACATTTAACATGCATCATATAAACATGTACACCTTACAAACACTCACGCACCAGGTGTGTGTCTTTACATATGCATGCATCATACATGCATCTTACACTATTGCATGTAATATATGTGTACCCGCATGTTTGTATCATAGTTACACTTCACACGCGAACAAACACCTTATACTCACCTTACAAACATAAATGCATCAGATATTGCATCTTACACATAAATATGCATCACACTTATACCTTCCACTTACACATACAGTAAAGTACGGTCATAACGAACTCAAGGGGACTACTAATTTTAGTTCGTTATAACCGTATTTCGTTATAAGCATATATACAGCATAACTACAGCAATTAGTCGGGACCAAAAAAGTAAGTTCGTTATATCAGTCAGTTCGTTCTAAGCGTGTTCGTTATAACCGTAGTTTACTGTACAACATATACCACATTCCACGCATGCACGAATCATATGTGCGTATTGCACATAAATATGCATCACACATATACCTTCCACTTACATATTAACAATATACCATCTTACACGCATGCACGAATCATGTGTGCATATTGCACATAAATATGCATCACACATATACCTTCCACTTATACATATTAACCATATACCATCTTACAGGCATGCACGAATCATGTGTGCATATTGCACATAAATATGTATCACACATATACCTTCCACTTACATATCAACAATATACCATCTTACACGCATGCACGAATCATATGTGCATATCTCACATAAAAATGCATCACACATATACCTTCCACTTACATATTAACAATATACCATCTTACACGCATGCACGAATCATATGTGCATATCTCACATAAATATGCATCACACATATACCTTCCACTTATATATCAACCATATACCGTCTTACACGCATGCACGAATCATGTGTGCGTATTGGACATAAATATGCACCACTCATATACCTTCCACTTATATATTAACCATATACCATCTTACACGCATGCACGAATCATATGTGTATATCTCACATAAAAATGCATCACACATATACCTTCCACTTACATATTAACCATATATCATCTTACACGCATGCACGAATCATGTGTGCATATTACACATAAATATGCATCACACATATACCTTCCACTTACATATTAACAATATACCATCTTACACGCATGCACGAATCATGTGTGCATATTACACATAAATATGCATCACCCATATACCTTCCACTTACACATACAACATATACCACCCTCCACGAATGCACGAATCATGTGTGCATATCACACATACATATGCATCCCGCATGTACCTTCCACTTACCCATATCATCTTACACACATGCACGCATCATATGTGCATCTTACCCACACGTGCATTATATGTACACTACACACACTTTGCACGCACCACCTCACGTGACTGCCTCTTGTGGGGACTCCTGGTTAGAAAAGGTCCCCAGAAACCATAAGAGGCGACAAAAAAGATCTGACATCAGGCTTGGTGGCTTGTTTGTTTGTTGTCTGGATGTTTGTTCAGCTCTGGGGCACAGCTGGCCCAGTCGTCTTAGGCGAAAGGATTTACTGTGCAGAGTTGCGTCCCTTTGGATCGCCAGAAACCTATGATTGTGGGTCGAATCCCGGTTCGCCCCGATTATGTTTCTAGGTTTGTCAGCACCATACCCGTGCTCGTGGGTTTCACCCAAGTGGTAAACGTCTGAGACATGCATTTTATCGGGCTTTCCTCCCACATTAAGCTGGCACGCCGTGATATACCTGGAATACTGTTAAAAGCGGCGTTGAACCCAACTCCCTCACTCATTCTTCGCAGCTCGACAGCGTCGGACGTCGCTCATAATATTTAATTACAGGCCGACGTCATATAGCTGGAATATGGTGACATTGAAAAAGAAACACAAAACAAAACAAGATCATTTTCATCATATCTATTACTTAAGCATAAATGCGCTATATAAACTTCTTAAAGGCATACATGCATCGTATATACACCTTATAAGTGCTCACACGCAATACACTCACTCACACGCATACATGTTTTATGTATGCACTTTCCACATAGCATGCCCCATGCATGCATCTGCACGTATTCCCGCTATGTGCATGTATGGTGCATGTATACGTATACGCTAGCTGTGTGCATGTATTTGCTTCTGAGCTTCATAGGAAGGTCACACGCATCATGCTTTCTGTCACTATGATCGCATGATTGAACGCATAGAAACAGATAATACTTGCACTATACCAAGGTACAGGTATCTGGTTTGTACATGTTTACGACGTGCAATAGAGAATAAATAGAGGCGTATGTATCCAAATATACTACTCAAAAGACGATAAGGACCACCTGAATTATTTTTATATTACTTTAATTAATCTATCATGGCATGACATTAACTATTGTAATATGAACGAATCGGGTGGTTCTTAACTTCTTGTGAGTAGTATATGTTATTCAAATGGGGATATCTTCCTTTTAAGATGATATACTCAGAAGAAAGTTAAGGCCTTGGGAATTTCCGTATTTAATTCAATTCATGTGCCACCCTTTGTTTCAACGCTCCGCATCTAAAATAACGTGCTGCTACGTTAGTGCATTTTCAGTTTCGCCCGTCCAATCTTCCTAGCTGCCAACGTGTATGTGTCAAATAACTCCACGATCTGTCAGCCTTGCCAAAATGACTTGCAGATTAATTAAAACGCGTCAGACTGAACATGCTTCAGCAGACATTTCTTATGATTATGGAAATGGTTTTTTCGCTTATATTTACATTGGTCTGAAAGTACTGTCGTATATATCTGATCTAATGATCGAGGATTTTATCCTCTTGTAAATATTCTAACCTTTACGCTTTCCTTGTGGTGTATTATAACACAGCACGATTATCATACACTTCTAGAAAGTTTTGGCCACCGCAACGATATTACCAGTACATTGTATATGACAATTCTGTATTTCTTTGCTGAAATAAAATCTCCCTTTTAAAAACAAATTACGTAACTGAAGGAACTACTGACATTCAAGGACACGGGGTGTAAAGCTTTTATCGTGATAATGTTTAAGCAACCATACTCACGTTATACAACGTTCGAAAGCTCATACATTTAGAATATCCTAACATGAGCCCCTCAAACAAAACTACATGTTTAGATTCTTGTCATAACGTGTCTTCAAAGTGACATTTTGATGAAGATATAATCTGATATCCATAGCTATACTTGCATTAATACTGGTAATTTGAATACCTATCTACCCACGTATAAACACTGCTCCCTTATAGTAGAGTGTAGTAGAGCCTGACATATGTCCTAATCAGGTTACGGAGACGCACTGAAGGTGAGAACGCACTGCCCATACAGTTTTACAGTCTAAAATTTCTCCAAGTAGAACACAAAAGATCATTTTACCACAAGTAATGACATTTCCAAACGCATCACGTCAAGTTTCGCGAGCAACTCATTAGAACCTGTATTCACTGACATTTCATCGACATATTTTTTTAATAATATGCAGCCTAGCATACGATATTTGGTTGATATTCCCTGCTAAAGTGTTTATTTATCTAAAACAGAAGGCAGCACACGCCGAAGACGTATTGTCCTTGCTTTTTGTCATTTTTTATCAAACCATCAACTAAACCACATGCAGTCCAATAGTCTGAGACAAAAAACATACAGTAAACTACGTTTATAACGAACACGCTTATAACGAACTGACGGATATAACGAACTTATTTTTTAGTCCCGGTTATTTGATGTAATTATGCTGTATATGTGCTTATAACGAACTACGGTTATTACGAACTAAAATTAGTTGTCCCTTTGAGTTCGTTATAACCGTAGTTTACTGTGTGTGAATATCTTTCCTAATTGTCGCCTATCTTACGTCATATCTAATTCTAAATATATAGTTACTTTATTGACGGAATACGTAGTATATACTAATGCAAACGGCTTACCCGATGAGGTCCATTGTGACTCATTTCAATTCCAAATTCCAAATGGAAAAACTTGTTATTAAGGTGAATGACAAATAATAATGTTTTGTTTTCAATTTAAAATGTCGTCTAGCAACATCAGTCACATCTGTATAGTAATGATGTGACAAAATATCTGAATGGACACAGTAGACGTAATTTATGGATTGCAACAATCCAGGTCACATCTAGAGGACTTTATAGTGCTTCTTCTCAAAACCAATTGGTTGTCTTGTCTATCTTTTTACATAGTGTATAAATATAACGAAAACCGTATCCCTCGTAGGAACCTCTCGAGCAATTGTCCTTTTGGACACATTTAACCTACTCTTCTGACATACCTGAAAAATGTCAAAGTGTGCAAATGTTTAAACGGAATAAGGAGAGATACAAGACACAGCATTATTGTCATTAACTTTCGAAACAAAAATTACGACCCTTGACATTTGGCATTTGTGACTGGGTAAGAAGGACTCTCATCACTCCTCGTCATCGCAAGAAGGATCAGCATGCTTATTAGATGTGTGTTTGTGGGCAGAGATGCATGGTGCATGTTCTGGTATGGCTGTAGTTTGTATGATCGATATCCAATCAGCATGGTAAAAGAAATGTATTGGGTGTTCATTATTTAGTACTTGAATTCGAACTATTGATGCCAATGTATTCTTGAAAGAAGTCAGTTCGATGTTGTTGTGTTGGTTGTATTGGTGGTAATGGTGATTGAGTGGTCTGTTATACACGTCGGTGTTGTCAATGGTAACGTGCATGATTGTTTTCCTTCATCCTGGTTATGAACTCAACTTCAGAATTTATCTTAGGAAGACAACTCTTTGCTATCGTAATCAATTACTGACACACATAATAATACACGCTCACTCCTGCCTGTCCACTAAGGAATTTCTACGCTGCATCCTATAGTCAAAATGGTCATATCAATGGATTAACATTTTGCAGATGGTTCCACAAAAATATGTTTACTGCTATTATCATGGCTAAGATAGGCTAGGGAACTCAGATAAAAGGGAGTGATTTGATTTAACTCTGCTTCGAACCCGGTATGTCAGCTTGATGTGGCAGGACAAGCCGAAGTGATGTATTTCTTAGACGTTTACCTCTTTTGTGAAACCCACGAGCATGGCGCTGACAATCCTAGAAATGTAATACTCACGCAGGGAGTTGCAAATTACAGAAAGTATAACAGACACAACAAGCATTTTCCTAATGAAGAGTATGATACATGTACGTACGTGTGCGTTATTGACATTAATTCTGCATAAAGGGAAACAGGTTTTGAGGATATCTGCAAAATGTTGGTTCCTTACATTACCTGACATATAGGAGGAACTAAGGACAAGTCTAACAGTGCAGATCAAATGTTGAACATTTTTATGTACAATAAATACTTCTTATAAAGTGTCGTATTCCATGGCCTACCATTTATTTACAGTGGAGCTTGAGTCCCTCTCGCTGAGATCAGCTGTTACATCTTGCATTATGTCATGTATGTTTACTTAAACGTGTTGCCCATAACACTGACGTTTTGTTGTTTCTTTATGTTTTCAGATATGTTTTTGTTATCGTGAGTTACCTCATTGGAGTCTTTATATTCGCTACAATCGTAGGTGAGTCTGGTGTCTGCCAAGGCAACACTGTGTTTACTCTGTCTATGGTTCATTTATATTAGCTTAACGCCGCTTTGAACAGTATTCCAGGTATATCACAGCGTGCATCTGATATAAATGTCATTTCCAAGCTGATTAAGTATGGAGAGACATTTTTTCGTCTGGTTTTCTGTTTCTTGTTCTGTATCTGTATCTGATGACGATTGGTAATGTCATCAGAACTCTCGAAACATGTTCATGTCTGAGAAACTGCACCGTGTCACTAGTTTACACCAAGCAAGACTACTACAGTTACTGAGAATAATGTAGGCGTGTGTGTGTGTGTTGTTTGTGTGTGTGTGTGTGTGTGTGTGTGTGTGGTTTGTGTGTGTGCGTGTGCGTGCGTGTGTGTGCGTGCGTGCGTACGTGTGTGCGTGCGTGCGTGCGTGTGTGTGCGTGTTTTTGTACATCTTCTGTAACTTAATAATTTTCTTAATTTCAGGACAGGTCGGCAATGTGATAACAAACAGAAATGCCAGCAGACAGGAATTTGAGAGATTGCTGGTAAGTACTGGAACTTTCCGACAATCCATTGCTCATCAACAATGTCTTCCATTGTTTCCTCAGTTTCTGGGTTAGTTTGATTTATCCAATATTCATGACAATATGGAAAGGAGAAATGAGCCAATATCTTTTAGGAAAACATTGTGATTTGTTTTGGTCAAAAGCTTTATATGAGAATAGGTTATACATTGATTTACCAACTGTAACGTAGACAGGCTTTTTGGCATTGCCTGTGACAATGGGCTGATGGGATGGGTTTTCTCGCACAGCCAGACCCTGATCATTTCATCTCTCCTTTATACAAGCACTAGTACGCCGATTCTTAATGGGATGATTGGATACCCGCTGTGTACCTACACGTTAGTTCGACCTAAATCTGACACAATGAATGGTACCTCCATCAAACCATTAGACCCACTAACCAAACTATTCAAGTCTACTGGATATTCAATAGCTATTTCCAGTCATTTGCCCGTCGTTGGAACACTATAGGAGCAGTTGCTGTCGTTACTGAAACGAACAGCCAAGGTCTGTCGGTCTGCCTGGACGCTGTCAGTTTGGATCCCACCATGATGAATGGCCTCCTATCCAGCGAATAGATCCCTGTATCGAGTTGTCTTTGACAATCACATGGAACCCGCATTGTCAATATGAAAGCTCTTGAAGGGAGAGGAAATTTAATCAAAGGTTTTCTAGCGATGATGAGCTCCGTCGACCTGCCGACCTTCCAACAAGTTGTTAGTCAGCGTGTAACGCTGTTGAAAACGTTTATCAATAAAGGTTGGGCATACAAGGGTTTCTCGTGCCTTATTCGCGATATTTCCCTTTGTACGAATTGACCTTAACAGCCACTCGGGATCGTGTGCATTGACTGAATATACTCCAATAATTAGGTAGATGCTTTAGTCGATAATGATGGCTTTGAAGCTCAGCTTTCCACGGCGAATGTCAATACTGGTTTATTATGACATATATCCTTGATTCCTTCATAATAGTCACAGTGTTGTTGGTATCTCAGTAATTAAGGAGTTCAAGCGTTATATGAACAGTACGAGCTTGATTCCATAATGAAACAAATTTCACCCACTCGCTTAAAAAAGATTCACGTCAGAATGCACACGTTTTTTTATTACCAAGGTTCTCAGCTAACATTTGTACACGACAGACTTAAGCAAAGTAAATTGTGTTTGCAAGTGAACATGGTCTTGCAATTCTGCTGTATGCAAGGGGTGATGGAATGCACATCAATTTCACTTTGTAGATTTGTCCTTTATAAAAAGATTCGGGGACCAGGGTCTGCTTGTGTTGTGAGCAAAGTTAGCGTCAATCCATCTCTGACGTCTATACCGCAGATATGGTAGGCAACCAATCGATCTCCATTGGACTAACACCCAGAAACTAATATTTCAGCTCATGTCTTTAGCCAGGATCTGTCACAGCTCACAAAGAGTCAGCCTAGTTGATTAACCGCACTTGAGACTGCTACCTGAACCTACTAATTACAACGTTTGATAGCTATTCGATCTCAGAAACTTTATCTGATTAAGTGTAATTGGCCGTACTAATGAATTAGAAATCGTTTGACACGCTTTGCTTACGGGTTGACATCGTATTATGTTTATATCTGTCAGACTGCTTGGAAAAAGCCACAGATAGTATCAGAGTTCGGTTTGATAGAGACGAAAAGAGAATTCAATGGTAATGAGTTTTTGTATTGTGCGAGCTGTCTTCACACGATGTAAATCGGGTCGTCTATTTATAGTAAATTAAACGTCGTATTTTTAATCATTTTTCCTTTCCCCGATAAAATTCTCGTTACGAAATGCATGTTACATCTGAGTTATTTAAAAAGTTAATACTGAGCGGTTTTTAAGGCGAGCATATGGAAATATGTTTTACATCTGCATTATATTATGAATATTCGCACACTCTTACCATAATTTTCATTGAGTTTTGTCTGTATTTTCAGGATGGCGCTAAACTGTATATGCAAACTCATAACGTACCTCCAGACCTGCAGAAACGCGTTCAGCGCTGGTACGACTATGTGTGGTCCAGGTGCGTACCCTTACTTGTTAGAGTCAGTTAGGTTTAACGTCTCTTTGAACAGTATTCCAGTTGTTTCACTTAATCTTATTCTTGAAAATATTTTTTATGTCATTTACCCGTTTTCTGTGCCCCCCGCCGTGATATTGCTTAAATATTGCTAAAAGCGGCGTAAAACAATACTCACTTACTCACTCACTCATATAGTTGTATATTGCTCAGTTTTATAAGCTAATAGAAGCGAGTGAGTTGGGTTTAACGAGGCTCTGGCCATATTCCAGTTATATCACTGGATATATATATATATCACTATTATGTCAAATTAATATGGGAGGACAGTCCTCCGAAGTGATGCAGGTCTTTGACGTTTACCACTTGGGTGAATCCCACAGGTAGCCCAGTCGCCTAAGACACCGCACTTCGCTGTGCACAGGTGCGTCCCTTTGGCACGCCAGAAACCTCGGTGGGTTCGAATCCCGGTTACGTTTCTAGGTTGGTCAGCTCCATACCCGTGCTCTTGGGCGTCATTGAGGTTGTAGATATCTGAGGCCTATATCACTTCGGGCTTTCCTCTCACATCAAGGTGACACGTAATGCTATTCAATGCGGCGTTAAGCCAGATTTACTCACTCACTTGTACTCGTTTTATATACATGTAGTAGCATAGGTAGTTGTTGTCATACCAGCAGATATATGAATAACATACATACAATGTAGTGGTTAGGTATTACTGTGCAGTCAGACATACAATCAAATATTCATTTAGACATACGACATACACTTAGGCGTACATTCAGTCGTATATGCGACACACTATCGGTAACACAGACATGGATTCAGACATACAATCAGACACACAGACACGGAATAGGTCATACAGCTAGACATACCATTAGACACACAATCAGACATACAATCAGACACACAGACGTGGATCAGTCATACAGATAGACATACAATTAGACATACAGTCAGACACACAGACATTCAATCAGACACACAAACATGGAGTCGGTCATACAGTTGGACATACAATTACACCTAGAGTCAGACACACAGGTATTCAATCAGACACACAGACATGGAATCGGCCATACAGTAAGACATACAATCAGACACAATCAGACATACAACCAGACACACAGACTTTCAATCAGACATACAGACACAGAGTCGGTCATACAGTTAGACATGCAATCAGACAAATAATTAGATGTACAATCAGACACACTATCAGACATACAGTCAGACACATATATACAATCACGCACACAATCAGACACGCAATCAGACAATCAAACAATCAGACCCAGATACACGGAATCGGTCATATAATTAGACATACAACCAGTCATAGAATCAAACACACAATCGGACACAGATACACGGAATCGGTCATACAATTTGACACACACTCAGACATACAATTAATCAGACAAACAATGAGACACACAACCAGACACACAATCAGACACACAGACATTCAATCAGACACACAACCAGACACATAATCAGACACACAGACATTCAATCAGACACACAACCAGACACATAATCAGATACACAGACATTCAATCAGACACACAACCAGACACACATACATTCAATCAGACACACAATCAGACACACAGACATTCAATCAGATACACAACCAGACACACAGACATTCAATCAGATACACAACCAGAAACACAGACATACAGTCCGACACACAAGCAGATGTACAGTCTGATATGCAGTCTCTTGGTAGTTGTAGTAGATGAGGCAACAGTGGCGGTTGTTGTGCAGGTAGTAGTAGTGTATATTCATTCGAATAATGCTGGAGAAGTAATGTGTGATGTAGAATTAATTCAGTAGCAACAGAAGCGGTATTACTGATGATGATTGAGGTACGAAAGGTATGAGATCAGGTTAGGAAATACAACGATGACATTAATACATTACATTTTGTATGGATAGCAACTGAGCACTTACTCAGCATTCAACTGATGAAGGAGCAAGAAGTAGCTCTGAAACGTCGTGACAAATATAAGAGAAGTTGCTACCAATACGTCCTATATTCATGCTCTTCTTTTAACTTCTAAATGCCTATCAAAGACTTCAAACGATGATAATGCAAAAGCTGAAGCATTTTTTTAAGCAAGTGTCTCAGGTGTTGGAATATGCTTCAAATGGGGTTGCCCGCTCTCGTCTACAGTGCTATCAAATGGGGTTGCCCGCTCTCGTCTACAGTGCTATCAAATGGGGTTGCCCGCTCTCGTCTACAGTGCTATCAAATGGGGTTGCCCGCTCTCGTCTACAGTGCTATCAAATGGGGTTGCCCGCTCTCGTCTACAGTGCTATCAAATGGGGTTGCCCGCTCTCGTCTACAGTGCTATCAAAATAAAGTTAGGCACCAGAGAGAGAGAGGTTGGATATATTTATCTTGAATACTTGAATGCCCCTGGGACTTTTTAAAAGTTCATATCATCTTCAATTCAGAGGTAATTTGAGATTGCATTTGATATAATGAAATCAATCAAAGCATTAAAACCTGTTCATAGTTTTACAAAGCCATAACATTAGTTATTAGTTTTATATATTAATACAGTGTAACATGAATTGGAAAATGTTTAGTTCGAAATTTGGATTTTGTATTGACATTTGCCTCAGACTTGGGGTCGAATATCGGCCCCTGAGCAGGTCCGTATAAATCCCTGGCACATGAGTAGGTATTTCAAACTATTCGGCTTATTTCAAGTTCTACTTTAGGTTTTTGTCTCTGGAATTATAGAATCTGGATCTGTCTATCATCAAGTAAGGGATGGGACAAACTGAGTGTAGTCGAATCACCCCACCTTACCAAAATTACTGTGGTCGAACTGACTGTAGACGGAGTGAATTGTAGTCGAAAGAAGTCTCCACCCTTCAAACACTCGATGAAAGCGAGCGTTACCCGATGATTGCATGTCCTCAACTTAAAGTAATTAAACAAATTAAAGTAATTAAACTAATTAAAGGAGAAGCCCATTTTCGTGCCCCGTCTAGACGCAGTAATTCATTAATTGTTTCAATCTTGGACATTGTCTGTGTGTGATTAGGGTAATCATGAAGTGCCAGGTAGATATTCATCATGCAATTTGAATTCGAAAACAAAAAAGGATTCTCTTATGTAGCCAATCCGTACCCTCAATGGACATCAGTACAATGGACAATCTCGATTTTCTTATTGTTATGGTGGGCACGCCAGAAACCTATGATTGTGGGTTCGAATCCAGGTTCGCCCCGATTATGTTTCTAGGTTTGTCAGCACCATACCCGTGCTCGTGGGTTTCACCATAGTGGTAAACGTCTGAGGCCTGCATCACTTCGGGCTTTCCTCCCACATTAAGCTGACACGCCGCGATATAACTGGAATACTGTTACAAACGGCGTTAAACCCAACTCACTCACTCACTCACTCACTATTGTTATGGTGTTACCCCAGACAGCTCATCACACCCAAAGTCCAAACTCCACTTTCGCTGTACTTAGTTGGCTTCTGACTCGTTAAACCTTTTGGCTTCCTTTTGTTATCTGTACATCAATCCTACCTTGTGTGTACGTATCAGCATGTATACTACTCAAAAGAAGTTAAGGATCACCCGGTTCTTTCATAATGGTAAAGTTAATCTGTCATGATATGAGAGATTAACTATAGTAATATGAAAGAATCAGGTGATCCTTAACTTCTTTTGAGTAGTATATATACATTAACTCAATATGTTTACTCTGTAATGTTCATGTTTTTCCAACTTCTAAATACCTGCCAATGTATTAAAACGACAAAACCCATTCCAGAATCATAATAAATCCTTGATTTGAACAAAGTCCAGTGTACGAATCCGACTGCATCATAAGCATGTGTCAATAAATCGCAATCAAAAGGGGCGGTGGGGTAGCCTAGTGGTTAAAGCGTTCGCTCGTCACGCTGAAGACCGGGTTCGATTCCCGACATGGGTACAATGTGTGAAGCCCATTTCTGGTGTCCCCCGCCGTGATATTGCTGGAATATTGCTAAAAGCGGCATAAAACCATACTCACTCACTCACTCACGCAATCAAATGGTGATGATACCAGGTGTTCGCGAAAAGGTGAGCCTATCCTACCCAAACCATTTGGCACAAACACACGCAAAGGCTTTTATTTACATTGTTTCGTGATTGTTCATGTAAAGTACCTGAAATGTAAGTCTGCTGATTGCTAAGTTTCTTATTTGCGCCCATGTTATGTCAGTGTTAACTTCTCAAATTAGAAAAGTATTCATATTTTATACTTCCTTCCATTAAGAGTATCCAGTGGTCTATAATCAACCTGTTAAAGTATGACAGTATTATCATCATAACGTCTCTTGGTGTGTTCCTTGCGTCCGCCCGGAGAGCGGAAGGTCCGGGGTTCGATTTCCGACCGCGTCATACCAAAAAAAGTTAAAAGATGGTACTTTTTGTTACCCTGTCTGGCGCTCGGCATTAAGGGGCTAAAACAAGGACTGGTCGGTTCGGAGTCAGTATACTGTGTCTGAGTGGGGTAACATGTTAAAACTGCGGCATGGTATCTCAGTGAGCTAGCACTATAAATCGGCATCAGTCCGGACTTGTACAAGCAGCCACACAAACACACACACGTACATTCACGTCGCTATATAAGTGCAATAATCTTGGACGCGACGTTAAACCCCATTTCACCTCTCCTCACATTGGTGTGTTCCTTATGCATGACATGTGTGCTACGGATAGAGCAAGATGTGCTTACCCTTTTCACGCCCACCTGGTGTCATCAATGATTTTCAGTGATCCAATCATATTTTCATCACTATTTTGACTTTTACGTCCTATGGAATCTGTTGATGATGGAAACTGATTATTTTCTTGCGTTGACGTTACATATTTCAGGATGCGAATTGTTGAACGTTGAATTGAATTTCACTCTGGGCCAAGAGGCCAAAATACTGAAAAGCAACTCTTAGAAATCGAAGTTGATGTAAATATCTCGGTAGAAGGTGAAAAGTAGTGAAGATATAAACACTGCATCACCGAGCCAAATACCAAGGGGCATACTAGAAACAAGGTATGTCAAATATCATTAAATAATTCCCACGAGAGGATGTGAGGATGCATGTTGTTACTTCCTCTTCCTGTTGCAGGGGTCGCCTTAACGGCTGCGACATCAACTCTCTTGGTCTTCTTCCAGACAAGCTAAAAACAGAACTCGCCATACATGTCAATCTTGAAACGCTGAAAAAGGTGGGTAATCTAGACGTCTGGGTAAAAATCAGGAAAAAAGTTTGAAAAGCTTATCTGAAACATGTCTTGTATTTACTGAACATAAACGGTAAATTAATAACGCGCACGCATGATAAAATAAATTAATGAACAAAACTGTTGTCAACTGACGTGTCACATCTGTATTTCCCTTTGTTCATTAGTGTTGTCAAGGTGACGTATCACGTTTGTATTGACTAGGTTCATGATTGTTGTCTAGGTAACGTGTCACGTCTGTATTCACAAGATTCATGATTGTTGTCTAGGTAACGTGTCACGTCTGTATTCACAAGATTCATGATTGTTGTCTTTTTGACGTGTCACGTCTGTACTCACTAGGTTCATGATTGTTGTCTAGGTGACGTGTCACGTCTGTACTCACTAGGTTCGTGATTGTTGTCTAGGTAACGTGTCACGTCTGTATTCACAAGATTCATGATTGTTGTCTAGGTAACGTCTCACGTCTGTACTCACTAGGTTCATGATTGTTGTCTAGGTAACGTGTCACGTCTGCATTCACAAGATTCATGATTGTTGTCTAGGTGACGTGTCACGTCTGTACTCACTAGGTTCATGATTGTTGTCTAGGTAACGTGTCACGTCTGTACTCACTAGGTTCGTGATTGTTGTCTAGGTGACGTGTCACGTCTGTACTCACTAGGTTCGTGATTGTTGTCTAGGTGACGTGTCACGTCTGTACTCACTAGGTTGATGATTGTTGTCTAGGTGACGTGTCACGTCTGTACTCACTAGGTTCATGATTGTTGTCTAGGTGACGTGTCACGTCTGTACTCACTAGGTTGATGATTGTTGTCTAGGTGACGTGTCACGTCTGTACTCACTAGGTTGATGATTGTTGTCTAGGTGACGTGTCACGTCTGTACTCACTAGGTTGATGATTGTTGTCTAGGTGACGTGTCACGTCTGTACTCACTAGGTTCATGATTATTGTCTAGGTGACGTGTCACGTCTGTACTCACTAGGTTCGCGATTGTTGTCTTGGTAACGTCTCACGTCTGTACTCACTAGGTTCATGATTGTTGTCTAGGTAACGTCTCACGTCTGTACTCACTAGGTTCATGATTGTTGTCTAGGTGACGTGTCACGTCTGTACTCACTAGGTTCATGATTGTTGTCTAGGTGACGTGTCACGTCTGTTCTCACTAGGTTCACGATTGCTGTCTAGGTGACGTGCCACGTCTGTACTCACTAGGTTCATGATTGTTGTCTAGGAAGTGTCACGTCTGTACTCACTAGGTTTATGATTGTTGTCTAGGAGACGTGTCACGTCTGTACTCACAAGGTTTATGATTGTTGTCTAGGTAACGTGTCACGTCTGTACTCACTAGGTTCATGATTGTTGTCTAGGTGACGATCTTCCAGGAATGTCAGCCCGAGTTTCTTCATGACCTTGTCCTCAAAATGCGAGCCTACATCTTCACCCCCGGGGACCTCATCTGCCGGAGGGGGGAGGTCGCCAGAGAGATGTTCATTGTTGCAGATGGCGTTGTCGAAGTCATCAGGTATGAGTGTCATCCCCTTTTCTCTTGATGTAAACAGATTGCGTTTTTATATCGGTTTATAAGTCTTTTCAGAACTACAATTATGTAATATATACCACGATGATCTTTTTCAAGATAGAACGTTAGGGTAACTTGATGGTTAAAGCGTTCGCTCGTCACGCCGAATGCTCGATGTGTAAAGACCGTTTCTGATACTGCTACTTCTAGCAGGAAAATGCTCAAAGCGGCGTTAAACCTCACTTACTCACTCACTCACTCTTACGTTGAGAGAAAACACGTTCATTCTTTAAAGAGGAAGTCCTTGACAGCTAATGGGGAGGAAAAGGACGTTTGATATATACTAGTATTTATAGGCCAGCGTGAGACAAATGGTTTATTATGTTCCAGTGAAACAGGCACAGTACTGAAACGAATGGCAGCGGGCGACTTCTTTGGAGAAATAGGAATTCTCAATCTTGATGGCGGCATAAACAGGTATTATTTGTACCACGTAAGGCTACTGCAAACTGTCATTACATATTTTCATAAAGGTGCTTGGTTGACACAAGAACACAACAAATAGTTAGCCCGTGTGAGTATATCCTGATGTTTCGTACGGTCAAAGAAAAATTAGAATACATACTTGAATAAAATAACATATTTCTAATAAAGACCATACACCAAGGTGCTCTGATACTGCACGGGAGATTCATCCGTCTATTCAATGTGAATAAATGGTGCTTAGGCGAGACATACGCCAATCCCGGTTCGCCCTTGGTTTGTCATCACCTGATCCGTGCTCATGATTTCACCAAGTGTTTTCTGAGACCTGTATCACTTCGGGTTTTCTTCCCACTTGAAGAAGCTGACACGCCGTGATTTACTAGTAACTAGAAACTACTGTTCAAAGCGGCGTTAACCCAACCCACTCACTCACTTGTTTCACTGTTTCTCCTCCTGTCTACCCGTCTAGACGCACAGCTGACGTTCGCTCTGTTGGCTACTCCGAGCTGTTTGTGCTGTCCAGGGAAGATGTTCTAGGGGCCTTAAAAGATCATCCAGATGCGGAGGTAAAATCATTGTTCTGTCGCCATCCTTGAAAAAGATGTGGTGCACACACTGGTTTGAAACATGTGGAGTCTCACTTCACACAATTAATACGAGGTTTGATCCTGCAAATACTTCAAGTTCAGCCCTTCAAAATGTTTTAACAATTTTATCATTTGGACTTAAGCCATATGGAATATTTTGCTTTGGTTTTTTTGGAATTTTACATTTTCGAAAATATTGTTTCCGTTCGCCCGTTATCATGCTCTTCATCATCATAATCCTCATCGTCGTCATTATTGTTATGGTTGTTGACAATACATATTGTTATGTACAAAGCCTAGGGGGGGCGGGAAGCATACTGAGTTTTTTGTTGTTGTAATAATTGGAAATTAAGGAATTGTTGTTAAATTTCATTATGTCTATTTAACCATCACTCCTACCTGCAACATTTTGTAAAATGTAATCTGTGGCTGGGTAAGTGTGCGTACAAAATAAATTGGTTCAATGAAGACTGAATTTGCTTGGAATGAATTACCAACCACATGCCCCTGCCATGTTTGACATGTTGTAGATTTGTGCCGAAAAAGCAATTGCACTGATTTTCAAGATGTCTAAGATAACCATAAGCAGTTGTCTATTTTGCGAAAAAAAATAATTTTATCCTTAAAAAATTTAAATCAATTTATATTTATAAAAGAAAAAACATGTTGAAGTATTCTTTGAGTGTTGACTAATACAATTACAATTAATTATTTTGATAGAATGTCGCTAACGTAAGACAGTTGCAACTGAAAATCAGACAATAAAAATCAACTGAGGGGTTTCTTTGCCCCCCCCCCCCCCACACACACACACACACCACCCCCCCCCCACCCCCCCACACCACCCCCCCCACCCCCCCAACCCCCACCCCCCCCCCATTGTATCTCACTTGTCCATGTTGTGGGAATTACTTCCTCCCACACTTAGGGTAGAGGTCCTGCCGGGCTATGTTATACGGCAGATTCTCAGCAAGGTGGGCATTGAAGTAACCAGTCAAAATATCTGTTTATGGTCAGAAAATTGACACTTCGAAGAACAATAAATTCAGGTATTTTGCAACGTCAGTCTACCCGTCTCCCGTCTTTCAGTGGGGGGGGGCGGTTTGCCCAGTCGTCTTAGGTGCAGCAATTCGTTGTGCAGAGTTACGTCCCTTGTGAACACCAGAAACCTGTGATTGTAGTTCGAATCAAGGTTCGCCCCGATCATGTTTCTCGGTTTGACAGCATCAGTTTCACCAAAGTCGTAAACGTCTGAGACCTTCGAGGTTTTTTCCCACATCATCCTGACACGCCTTGATGTAACTGGAATAACATTAAAAGCGGCGTTAAACCCAACTAACTCACTCACTCCTTCTTTCAGTCGATCATCCGAGACTATGGACAACGCCGTCTTCGGGAGATAGAAGCCCATCGCCAGAAGGTGAAGCCGCTACAGCGGGAGGACACAGCAGAAGGGCTTCACGGGGTGAAGAACTCCCTTCTCATGACCATCCGGAGTATGTCCCCGAAACTGAGGCGCCACGAGCAGTCGCCCTCATCTCCAAGGTTCAGTAAAGCGAACAGTTTGAAAAATATGGGCTTTTCGTTTAATTCTGAAGATGGTCCTTTTGATTCAGAAGTGAAATATTCTCAAAGTAGTGGGCTTTTTGAAACGGTTTGTGGTAATTTAAGGCGTTTATTTCATAGGAAGGTTAAGAGGCAGAAACGTGAGGACGGGATCACTATGGACAACCGAGGGACCAGTGAGGACCCGACGTCCTCCGTTCAGGATAATGCTCCTGATAAGGATGCACAGGGGTCAGTGAAAATGTCTAAACTATCCCAAGTGTTTAAAAGTACTCTTCAGTCGAAGAAACGGCCTGGTTATATGGCAGTGAGGACTGATGACCAGGAGTCCTTTGACAGTGAAGACGACAAATTGTCCGACACAAAAGACAACCAAATTATTGACCTGACCCAAGCAGGGAAGCTGAAACAATTAAAAGCCAAAGAAATATCGGATGAGAAAACACTCCGTAGTCAGAAGGAATACACCCCTCCACCTTTACCGGGCAACCTTTCATCTTCCAGAGATTGCACTCCATCTCCAACAGCCAACAAAAGTAGTTCTAGAGAATTCACGCCTCCTCCTTCCGCGAAACAATCAAATTCGCGCGAGTTCACGCCCCCTCCGAGCGCGAACCTTCTGAGACAAAGACAATACACTCCTCCTCCTGTTGATAATGTCAAGAAATTTGATATACCAAGATGCAAAAGCTCTTCTGCTTCAGAATTAATAATGAGAGATAACTCTCGCCTTGCACTTCGCCTGAGTTCACCGCCAAGGGACTACGTGGCGCATATCTCTACTCCCCCTCTGGCGTCTTCTAACCCAGCTTACAGTATACTAACCCCACCTCCTGCTAAGTCTATCAACACTTACACCTGTGATGCAGATAAGACTTCGTGTGACTCTGGCCAACTGTCGCCAAGGTAGATACTAACTTCAACCTCTTTCGCAACCTCATTAAAATCAAATTCTTTTACTCTGATACGATACCCCTCTGGGTTTATGCCTGAAGGCGCCTCCACAGGTCACGCTTGTTCAACAATGAGCGAACTTTAACCAAGCAATCTAAAGGAAGACAGCATGGGTCCTTAAGCCAATTTGAGCAGCTGTCAGCTTTCTGAAATGATTCGGCTTCGTTCTTTTACTAACTCGATTCTGAAATTTCGATTTGGTCAAATCGAAACACAAACAGAACCTAAATAGTCCTATTGTACTCTCTTTTGGGTGTCGATACCACTGCGCTGTAATACGTCAGGATGTATATGATAAGATTATATCGGCGCCGCTGTACTTTCTACTTTCGGAACTTCGAGAGACATCCGTTTTCGAGACATAGAAATCATAAATGATGGTTTGAATGCTTCGCTCGCTCGTACCGAATATAAAAGCCTCTACGCTGATTGGCTGATTAGAATTTTCCCGACGCGCTATGTTCTGGAGTGAGGTATCGTATCGGAATAAAGAACATATTTTACTGAGATTGCCCTCTATCGCTGATGCCAGTGAAGACATAGTTCTCTCTCTCTCTTAACAACCAGGACCTCATTCTAGAAAGCGGGCATAGCGATATGACGATCGTAACGCCCATTAATACTGACCTACCATTTTGGAGGTGAGGAGATTTAAATTTGGCCCGATTTTTAACGACTTATCGTATTTTGAACTGGATGACCTGGAAAAAGGTATTTGGGTTCCAATACAATAGTTTGGCTCTTTTCTTCAGCATGAATCAGTAAGAAAGCTTTCTGGAACGCGACCCAGATAAAGTTGAATATCTGGTGTGAGAAATTGATCACTTATCCAAAAATATCAGGAATAGAGTCGTGCGGATTGGCATAACATCTTCACTGGTGTCGCATTTAGAACATTTTGACATTTTGTTTTGCTCTGCTTTCACAGGGTCATTTCTAACATTTATTTCTTTTTTACTTACATCAATAACAAAAAGATAAAACCAAAACTCAGTGGAAAACATGGACTCTTGTTTAAACTAACACGTCCTCGTCTTATCCTAAATAATTAAAAGTGATTTTTTTATGATGGTTTTCAACCGATTATGGACATTATGCAAACCCAATATATTAGAAATATCAACTCAATAAAGTTGTGTACTGCTTTTATTCACAGGAAAGACAGCTCCTGTTTTGATGATGTTGCATCAGCTCATTTATCAGAAAATGGAGGAAGAAGAAATTGCCTGTATGTTTTATTGTGTTTAAGCCTTGAAAACTGATCAACTAATATTACGTTGTTAGTTAGTGGCAACGCCTTTTTCAACCTACCGGTAAATAAGATAAGGCCTTGTCTCAATCACAATAATTGTAAATTTAAGGCCATATCGTATTCTATTGAAACGACGTTTGGCATGCACATGTTACATAAAGTTATGCATGGACGATGGCACTTTTGCCTCTTCTGTCTCCAGTAAACGCCACTCTGTGGATATAACCGACGCCCGATTGAACCCAATGCTGCATAGGAACAGCTCAAGTCTGTCTGTGACGTCACCGTACTCGGCGTTCGCCGACATGCACCGCCTGGGTGGTCAGGTTGAGGAACTCACCAAGGTCGTGGACACCAAAATGGTAGGAAGATTAAACATTTTCCAATGAATTTGAAAATTACTCGATTCTGATTGTTCAATCAGGGGTTGTCAAATCACAATAAACCCCCTCTGATTGAAACAGCCGATTTGATGACCGCATCACAGGCTAATATTCATGGGATGGTCCTTTTTATTTTCATTTTCGATGGGCATATTTTAATTATTATATCATATATATATTATTCTACAATTAATGGTTACAAAATGCAAAGTGGCGGTTACTGCAATATTCAAAGGATGTGTACAATGCTTAACGTGCAGAAAAGACAATCTTCAAAGGGATTGTATTTTAAGTTTTTGGGACAACAGAGAGCTTGGAATTTGGCGCTTTTCTATATTCGACTGTGGCATTATATCACGCTGCGTGTTCGGTTCCAATTTCAATTCAGCGCGGTAAAATCCGCTACATTGAAAAGACAGTATGTTAATCTCTTATTTCAATTGTTTCCTTATTGTAGGATCCCAGAGATTATCGTGGAATACTTGTAGAACATCAGTTAACTGTTCCCTAATTGTAGGGTGGCAGAGATTATTGTGGAATACTTGTAGAACATCAGTTAACTGTTCCCTAATTGTAGGGTCGCAGAGATTATTGTGGAATACTTGTAGAACATCAGTTAACTGTTCCCTAATTGTAGGGTGGCAGAGATTATTGTGGAATACTTGTAGAACATCAGTTAACTGTTCCCTAATTGTAGGGTGGCAGAGATTATTGTGGAATACTTGTAGAACATCAGTTAACTGTTCCCTAATTGTAGGGTCGCAGAGATTATTGTGGAATACTTGTAGAACATCAGTTAACTGTTCCCTAATTGTAGGGTGGCAGAGATTATTGTGGAATACTTGTAGAACATCAGTTAACTGTTCCCTAATTGAAGGATCGCTGAGATTATTGTGGAATACTTATAGAACATCGGTTACCTGTCCCTAATTGTAGGGTGGCAGAGAATATTCTGGAATACTTATAGAACATCAGTTAACTGTTCCCTAATTGTAGGGTGGCTGAGATTATTGTGGAATACTTATAGAACATCAGTTAACTGTTCCCTAATTGTAGGGTCGCTGAGATTATTGTGGAATACTTGTAGAACATCAGTTAACTGTTCCCTAATTGTAAGGTCGGTGAGATTATTGTGGAATACTTATAGAACATCAGTTAACTGTTCCCTAATTGTAGGGTCGCAGAGATTATTGCGGAATACTTGTAGAACATCAGTTAACTGTTCCCTAATTGTAGGGTCGCAGAGATTATTGTGGAATACTTATAGAACATCAGTTAACTGTTCCCTAATTGAAGGATCGCTGAGATTATTGTGGAATACTTATAGAACATCGGTTACCTGTCCCTAATTGTAGGGTGGCAGAGAATATTCTGGAGTACTTATAGAACATCAGTTAACTGTTCCCTAATTGTAGGGTGGCAGAGATTATTGTGGAATACTTATAGAACATCAGTTAACTGTTCCCTAATTGTAAGGTCGCTGAGATTATTGTGGAATACTTGTAGAACATCAGTTAACTGTTCCCTAATTGTAAGGTCGGTGAGATTATTGTGGAATACTTATAGAACATCAGTTAACTGTTCCCTAATTGAAGGATCGCAGAGATTATTGTGGAATACTTGTAGAACATCAGTTACCTGTCCCTAATTGTAGGGTGGCAGAGAATATTGTGAAGTACTTATAGAACATCAGTTAACTGTTCACTAATTGTAGGGTCGCTGAGATTATTGTGGAATACTTATAGAACATCAGTTAACTGTTCCCTAAGTGTAAGGTCGCAGAGATTATTGTGGAATACTTATAGAACATCAGTTAATTGTTCCCTAATTGTAAGGTCGGTGAGATTATTGTGGAATAATTGTAGAACATCAGTTAACTGTTCCCTTATTGTAGGGTCGGTGAGATTATTGTGGAATACTTATAGAACATCAGTTACCTGTCCCTAATTGTAGGGTGGCAGAGAATATTGTGGAGTACTTATAGAACATCAGTTAACTGTTCCCTAATTGTAGGGTCGCAGAGATTATTGTGGAATACTTAAAGAACATTAGTTAACTGTTCCCTAATTGTAGGGTAGCAGACATTATCATGAAAGAAGGTCGCGCCGATCGTAATTGTATGTAAGTATTATAAACATTCAGCTGTCACATTGTGATAAGTCGAGGAAAGCTCCATGGTATGTTTGTACTTTAGTGGGTTGTGTAAGCATCAATATCAACATTTAAACATTTAATTGTAAACATGTGATGATTAATCATGCCTATGTATGTATCTGTTTCTAGGCAACGCTAGAAGAGGCGTATGCAGGCAGCTTACATCGGCTAGACAAACTCACCTCTGTCCAGGAAACTCTTGTCAACCTACTCCAGGAAAATCTCAAACTTCTACAGGTAATCCGCCCAGGGACACATGTGCTAGGTGACTGCAAGGGGGATTGTAAATGAGAGAGTAAATAGGATTTAAGGCCGCTTTTAGCAATATTTTAGCTATATAATCACGTGAGGCACAAATTACACGTTAACGTGAGATAAGGTGAAATGGGGTTGAAGGTCGCGTTCAATATTATTGCACTTATATAGTGACGTGTATGCACCTGTGTGTGGCTACTTGTACTAGTCCGGACTAATACCAATTTTATAGTGCTAGCCCACTCAGCTTAACATAAATACCCCACTCATGATCAGACAAAGTATACTGACTCCGAGCCGACCAGTCCCTATTTCAGCCACTAATTGCCGATCGCCAGGCAGGGTAACAACAAGTTACATCTGTTAACGCCTTTTGGTATGACGCGGCCGAGGATAGTACCCCAACCTTCCGGACGCTCTACCACTAGACCACGGAGGCGGTCCATATACATGCATAAGAGGAATCGAACCGGTGTCTTCGGTGAGGCGAGTCAACGCTTTAACCAACATGCTACACTACCTCCCTAATAGATCGACCTAGGAATAGGGTCTAGGAATTGTTTGTAGGGATAAAATATTTTGTTCGGTCACTGCGTCAGAACATACATCTTTTTTGGGTCACAACACTATAATCTATTAATTCCCCTCCCACGATTAAGTATACATAGGTCGGGTGTTTATTACTTAATTAGTTTATAGTAGCTGGATGGGATGAAATGGACTTGATCTCTGTTGATAGAAAGCTTGTGGTGGCGAATTTGGACTGCTTCAGTTAGTTTTCTTTAAGTGAAGTAATGAAGGTTGTTGGAGAGAATGAGGACGTTTTCGACGTTGATGTTGTGATTGGGGCAGTTGCTGATATCGTCGAGGTGGCTGATTTACTGTCTAATTTGATGGTTAAAATTTTCTGCTCTTTCATTTTGATGGGGCGGGATGTATCTTCCTCCCACTTATGTATACTGAAGCCTGTTTAATTGGCTTCCTCATCATGTGTTCTCTGTCCATCATGTTGTTACAGTATTATCCTCCTGCTGTCAGTAATTAACCTACTCATGTTAATCTCTCAGGTATGCAATGGTTGTCACTGTTAACCTCTGTATATATTCACTACCAGCCTTACTTGACAACGGTATAATTGAGTAAGTGAGTATGGTTTTACGCCGCTTTTAGCAATATTCCAGCAATATCACAGCAGGGGACACCATAAATGGTCTTCGCCCATTGTACCCATGTCGGAAATCGAACCCGGGTCTTCGGCGTGACGAGCGAACGCTTTAACCACTAGGTTACCCGACCGCCCCGACAACGATCTGGGGATCTATAAAAAAAAAACCGCCTTCACAGTAAAAGAAAGAAGTTGTTATCCATAAATTGTGTCTGCTTTGTCATCCGTCATCATATAGGTAAGGTCTATCAAACAATCTATCAATACCATAACATTAAATATTGCGAACCGCTTACCTATTTCAGGGAATTGTAAATATGATTCTGTATTGATGTATGTCATATGTTATTGTTTGCAGTCACAGGTTAAGACGTCCCCTGAAACTTCCAATTGGGAACACACGACCGCGTTATAACGATACTCATACAGCCTTGTGGTATGGAGAATGCGTAGTGGCATCCTCGTTGTACATCTCTGCAACCAAGAAAGCAACAGCTCTGCAACTGAGACAGCAACAGCTCTGCAAACAAGAAAGCAACAGCTCTGCAACTGAGACAGCAACAGCTCTGCAAACAAGAAAGCAACAGCTCTGCAAACAAGAAAGCAACAGCTCTGCAAACAAGAAAGAAACAGCTCTGCAACTGAGACAGCAACAGCTCTGCAACCGAGACAGCAACAGCTCTGCAACCAAGAAAGCAACAGCTCTGCAACTAACACAGCAACAGCTCTGCAACTGAGACAGCAACAGCTCTGCAAACAAGAAAGTAACAGCTCTGCAACTGAGACAGCAACAGCTCTGCAAACAAGAAAGAAACAGCTCTGCAACGAACACAGCAACAGCTCTGCAACTGAGACAGCAGTGATGACATCCTCTACAACTGACATCCTGATCATCATCCAAGGCATAAATGAAGGTTACCAAGTACCTGAAAACATAATTATACATTATATATGTACGTTTATGTTCCTTTTAACTGACCGTGGCTGAATGAATGGACAATACACAGGGACGTCCGTTAAAAGGAGTGTTTACTTCACTAGTATATTAAAGGCTGGTAGAGTAACAGTGTTGTTGTCAAGCATTAGGACACGGAATAGTAAATACGGGAGAGACTTGATGCTTCGTGTGCTCGTCCCTGTCTCCTTGCAGCATCATTCCCACGCCATTTCCTCATTTCAGCCGGACAGAGGAGTCTGGACGCTCTCAGACAACATGAAACGAACTTGTCTCCTGTAGTGTCTCATGCAGTTTATTGTTATTTTGTACATACTCCCATTTTAAACTGACCATATTTTACATATTTTCGCGTTTCTTCGATAAGTATTTGCAAAAGTTTCTTTGGGTAGACATTAGTTTCAAGTCTCACTTGCCTCCTTCACATTTCTTTTCTTTCTCCCAATGACACCTTTTTAAAGTTACTTCAATATATATTGTTTATACTTATCTTAGGGCTTTTAACAAATATATAGGTGTAGATTTACGATTCCGATTCAATCAGTTTATATATCGCCTTTGACCTTGAATCAGTATATTGGTGTGTGATGCCAACATGAATATTTGCCATGGCGGACTCAATGTAAGCACGCCTGCATACGGTCGATGACAAAAAGATCGGCCAGCTGGCTGTGGTTGAGGGTGGTCCAAGTGCCGTCTATACCTGTAAGCCATCAAACAAAATGGCAGCGCCCAGTCACGACGATCTGATCGATAATCAAGATATATATTGTAATAAACGAGTCTTACCCCGCGAAGTGCATCAAATCACTTGACCATCTTGACTAAAACATGAAAAGATTTGCAAAATATCTGTCGACGCTTGACGGTACACATGATTTGCAGATCCTTTAGTCGACCGAAATTGCACGTTGAAATCCATGTTGTTTACGAACCGGATGTCTAGTTCGTTAGGCGATTTTGATTGGACTATTCATAAACCCGTTACTCCAGCCGGAACTCCGGAATTCCAACCAAGTTCGGCAAGGATGGAAACTGGACTTCTATAGTTAGGTAACACCCTTGCCTCGGGGAGATGACACTTGGCAGCCAGTATACATCTCCTACCCGGGTGGTCCAAGTATTGAGTTCATCATCAGTCTTGTCTACTTTGGGCACGCCAGAAACCCATGATTATGGGTTCGAATCCCGGTTCGTGGTATTCCGTGGTGTTATTGGAATATTGCTATAAGCGTCGTAAAACCCCGCTCACGCAGTGTTGGTGGTATAAGTTTAATACACTCATGACATATTCTTACTTTTTCTATGTCCTCATTCTAACTCACACTTTTTCCATGCTGATTCCATATGTTCATGCTCTGTGGATAGTGAAGACATTAGCTTGGTTATATGTTTCATCTCCAGCACTTCTGCACGGTGGCCAATACCCATTTTTCACTGTATGCCTCTATATTATATTTGGCGGCCACTGGTGAAATCATTTTCCCTGTAAACCTCTATATTTTATCTCACCAGTGGAAGTATCTGGCGGCGCCAGATAAAATATAGAGGCATACAGTGAAAAATGATCTCACCAGTGGCGGGTATGGGCCACCGTACTTCTGATACCTTATGAATCTGCAGACAGATGTACCCCAGTAGCAGCACCAGGTCCATGCGGTTAGTCATGGAATGCGTTAATGCATAGAAGACACGTGTAAATATGCCAATCTGGAGGCGAACAGTATTATACATAAAGACATGTAATTTGTAAATAATGTACATACGTCAAGGGTATGTTGAAACTCTGCTGTAGTAAATCAGTAAATAAAAAACACATGATGGAATACCGTTTGTTGTTGTATTATCATCATCACTATGAAATTGCTTGGTCTGCCAGGTCAGCTTGAACCCGGAAGCAAGAGATAGGTTACGCGCGCCCCCTAGCGGCGGTGGCGGTTGCTATATCATGCACGGAGCAAAGCAGTGAATATCATTTACCAATGTAACGAATGTTATATTTGGGATAACACTTTCCTTGTAAAGTATAGATTCTCGTACTTTTTTGGGTTGAGTCCAGTCCGGGATTCGAACCCATACTGCCAGAATGAGGAACCTAATCGCCACCAAAGTCAGCGATTTTTTCCAGGCAAGTACGAATTCTTCTAGGCGTGCTTCTGATAGTGGACCAATGCAAACCCGACTCACGTTGTTCCAAAAAGTGTCTATTAGCTTTTGGTTCCAAATAAACAATATGCATCTGCCAACATCTGAGTGACAATAGTAAATCTGACATACCATCACTTTCATGTGCTGTCCGAGGTCACGTGCTTCATGACTCTCACAATGTTGTGTTTGGGAGCTTGATGTCTTCGGAAATATTCTCGCCACATAAATCACGTACTTTCGTTGCCAGACATTGATGTATTTTCCTGTAGTTTCAACTCAAAACCAAATATCCCTTTGTATAGTGTATTTTCGCCCACTGCTCAAAAACATACATTAATTTTCTTTTTCTGAAAGGTGAGTCCAACATTTTCTTTCACGATTTTTTTTTCAGGACAGCCAGCATGTTCACACTCCATCCCCAAAATATGAAAAAAGTCGGTCGCAGTTAGTAATGACGTCATAGCTTAATTCAGTAACAGCAATGAAGGTATCTCGAATAATGTCGTGCTAAGCCAAAATCGTATGCCTGATGAAGGCCGGGGAGCCCGGAGCTAATACTTTTGTATCTATTTAAATTCCCCTATGGGAATGAACACACATCGAGGTTTATAATTGTACATGTAATTTTTTAATAATGCCTACCGACAATAACTGAAAGTGTTGTTACACAATGTTAACTGCCTCGGTGGTGCAGTGGTCAAATCGGCTGTGTAAATCAGAGGGGGTTAATTGTCATTTAATAACCTCTGATTGACCAATCAGAATCGCCCCTTATTTTGAAGAGCAGAAATGATGTTCAAACAGACACTTATTGGAACACGTAACTCGCCTAGTTCTTCACTCAGTGTCGTCATCGGGGGCACAGGTGGCCCAGTCGTCTAAGGCGCCGCGATTCGCTGTGCAGAGTTGCGTCCCTTGGGTACGCCAGAAACCTATGATTGCGGGTTCGAATCCTGGTTCGCTCCGATTATGTTTCTAGGTTTGTCAGCACCATACCCGTGCTCATTGGTTTCACCGGAGTTGTAAACGTCTGAGACCTGCATCACTTCGGGTTTTCCTCCCACATCAAGCTGACACGCGTGATATAACTGGAATAATGTTAAAAGTGGCGTTAAACCCAACTCACTCACTCAGTGTCGTCATCTGTTGGATACAGCTGCAGTGCCATTATGCCCTTCGCTCCTATTGTACAGAATAGTGTCAGCACACATAGAAACCACAGCACACTGGGAAAACGATGTGATGTTTATTTGATTGTTGTCAAATAATGTGCTCACTACTAACCAAACCAGTTTCAAAAGGTAACAAGCGTATAGTCGACGAAGTCATCTATATCCCCCGCCCATTTTATGGTCCCAAACCAGGTAACTGCCCCAACATTTCTCTTAGCCCATGTCACAATAGCTGCAATGAATTCTAAAACTAAATAAACTAGTGTCCAAAAGAAGCGATGCCACCTGTTTGCAACGACATAAAAGAAAAATTAAACAATGCAGAAGTTTAGGATTGGTGTTATGCTTTTGAGAAATCCTTTCACAACATCTGTACAAAAATTTCATTTCAATAAAATCTGTACAACCAATATGACAAGCCTTCAAAGATGGGTGGGGTCGAAAAATGAACATTTCGTTAGAGCACTGATCACAGAAACAACGGGAAATGTCACACCACACATCTCAAAGTCAAGTCAGTAGCGGGTATGTCCACTGTGAGCATCAATACATGCCAGAACACGCCTACGGACTGATGACGTCAAACGTCTGATGACGTTGGGAGTGATGCGTTGCCATTCCTCGAGGAGACATCGTTCTAAGTCCCGGACGTTGACTGGAGGCACACGGCGACGTCGGATTTGCCGATCGAGGTGGTCCCATAAGTGCTCGATGGGATTCATGTCCGGTGAACATGCGGGCCATGGCAAAACCTGTACGTTGGCGTTGGCAAGGAAGTTCTGTGTCAATCGTGCTGTGTGTGGCCTTGCATTGTCATGTTGGAAAAGGAGTCCACGAGGCTGTTGCTGAATAAAGGGCACCACAACAGGCCGTAGGATGTCATCAAGATAAAGCTGTGCATTCAGGTTTTCACGAATTACGACAAGCATCGTTTTGACGTCACCACATATGCCACCCCAAACCATTAACCCTCCACCTCCAAACGGCCGGACCTGTTGGATACAGTTAGGCGCCAAACGTTCACCAAATCGTCGGTATACAAGCTGCCGTCCATCGTTTCTGAAGATGAGGAATCTGCTCTCATCAGAGAACATAACACGTGCCCAGTCCCGCCGTTGCCAACGTCGAACTCGCCTGGCCCAGATCAGTCTGTTGTTCCGGTGTCGAGGCGTCAGGAGCGGTCCGCGGTAGGGATGACGTGGCCGGATACCATACTACCGTAGTCTCCTGTAGACGGTCTGTCGACTGATCCTGTGTCCCAGTGCTGTAGCCGCCGTGGACGTCGCTGTTACGGTGCGGTTCCTCAGGTGTAATACCCGGTTGTAACGATCTTCACGGGGCGTGGTTACTCGTGGTCTTCCACTCCTGGGCCTGTCTGACGTCTGACCT